CATGCTTCTGAAGCTTAGATGAGTTAGGGTGGGTATCGCGTCGTGGGGTTCTTCCAGCGCCTTGATGGCTAAGTGTACTTTGAGGAACCCTGTAGATAGCAGCAGCGCGTCGCTGGCTTAGTGACGCGTTAGATTTTATTGCTTGGGTAGCAAGTATAACTCTATCTGCACAGGAAAGTAATTCAAGATTAGGTTGTTGAGCCATTGTAATTAATAGTAGAAAGCGTTGTGGTCTTGGCAGAGTGATTCGCTCGGTGGGGTGATTCGCTCGGTGGGGTGATTCGCTCGGTGGTGGACCACGTTAGCTTAGATTCCCCTGTTTGTGTCTAGGAGAAGGGACATTGTAAGTCTTGTCTCCTGTAGGCTGCTCTTTATTTTCTTTCTTGCTTCTCTGTAGTTTCTACAGCTAAGCAGTAGGTGTTAAGGTGTTTGTGTATATCTACAGCTGCATTTAGAGCTTTCTGTTTTTTGTATATTGTGTAGATATGCTTTGTTGTATCTATGTCCCAGCTTTAGCTGGTAGTATGCGCTTGCAATTTCTCTTCTAGTGTTTTTTAGCAGTGTTATCTTGCTTGTTAGTTTTAGCAAGAATCTTGCTGCATAGGTGCTAGGATTTCTAAGCTTTGCTTTTGTGGAGTAGGCTTGGAGTTTCTGTTGCCACTCTTGTCTTGCAATAGCTTTAATCCTAATACCTGTCATTGCAAGACTTGTTGTATTAGATACTAGTTACTGTTTTGTAGCTTGTTTTGCCAAGACGTCTGCTTTTTTGTTTCCTGTGATATCTAGGTGTCCTAGGGTCTAGTGTAGGCTAATTATTGCGCCTTTGCTGTTAATTGCCTTTGCTGCGTTTGTGCAGTGGATTTGCCAAGCTTGTCTAGGGTTATTAGAAGGAGTCTTTAGCCTTAGAATAGCTGCCTGGTTGTCTGCAAAGACTTGGATCTCTTGTGTTGCTGTAGCTATAGAAGCTGCAAACTTAAAGGCTCTTGTTATGCCTCCTAGCTCTCCATTGTATACAATCTGGCCTTTGCTAATATTATATTTAGTAGAGTAGATTTCTTTAGCCTGCTGTTTATAGTCTAGAGCAGTAACTCCTATTCCTATTCCTGTGCCTTTCTTAATAGAAGAGGCGTCTGTATAGATAGCGAGTAGGTTGTCTCCTAGTCTCTATAGCATTTGCGTTTTGTGTTGCTCTAATTCTTCTTCTTTAGAGAGTTTAGAGATCTCTGCTGTGTATAATATAGTCTTGTTCCAGGGGCAGAAATAGTAGTCCTGCAATTTTTCTTCTTCTGTGCTAGGAGTAGCGTTAGGCGTCCTTATTGTAAATAAGATGCCTAGGTGGTCAGAGCCAAGTCCACCTAGCGTTTGCCAGTCTTCTATAAGGTTTGCTAGTTGTGTTGTAGCAAAGGTTAGGTCTAGGACACTCTCTCTATTCATGTTAGACCTAAAGAAAGTGCCTGTACCAGGGCTGTTTAGTAGCTCTAGGTCTTGTTCTTCTAGCCAAGTAACAAACCTAGCTGCTCTTAGTGTTATAGTAGCTACTATAGGGTCCCACCATGGGTGGTTAATATTGAAGTCACCAAGCAGGATGGCGGAGGGCAAGATAGAGGTGCTAAGGAGCTTTCTCTCTATTGTGGTAATGCCTTGTTTGTCTAGCTGGTTGTAGACATTGTAAATAGAGAAAGTTGTTCTAGAGCTCTTAACTATAATAGCTAGGAAGTTAGGATTAGGACTAGTGTCTGCTAATATAGTGACTTGCGCTTGTATA